CTTCCTGACAAGAAGCTGTGTGGTTCTCCTTTTTCTCTGTAAAATATCGGCAGCATATGAGGTATGTTTGATTCCCAAACCAGAGTGACTGCCCCTAGAAGGAAGCTTTTGCCAGAGAAATCTAGGGAATATGAATAGTCCCAATGAACCTTCATCAAGAGGAGACAGTCAGAACACCAAGGCCCCCCCCCCCCATTAACCCACAGTCCCCATGATGATGTTCTGTGAGATCCAGGTGTCCCAGGAGCTTCTTGTGTACCAGGCTACATTGTGAACAGTAATGACACCTCTAATGGAGTAACTTAAAATAGCTGCTCCCTAAATCAAGACTTCTACTTTTGTTTTGTAATTGTCCAAAAAATATGTTCATGTAATTCATACCTATCACAAGACTAGTAACAGGAAAAAGATTTAAAACATGCCAATAGAACTGCACTGAGACTCATAAATAATCCCCCCCCCAGTCTTTAACTTTGTTGTTATGGTGAAATATGCATAACAAAATGTAACACTAAAGTGTTTAATTCTTGGCTTAAGTTTATTCATACTGTTTCACAGCCATCACCACTATTAAACAGTTCCCCAGTATCAGGCTGTGAGATGGCTTAGTAGGTGAAATGTGTGATGTCCCAGCATTTTTCAGTACTCACATTCTGCAGCTGTAACCCCAACACTGGAGTGATAGGTAGAACAGAGACCGGTGGATCCAGGACTTAATGAGCTTCAGGTTCAAGAGAGACCTGTTTTCCAAAATTGGGCTTAAGAGTGATAGAGAGCAATACTCATCATCAACAGGTACACATGCACACACAGAAAAAAAAAAAAAAAAAAAAAAAAAAAAAAAACAGTTCTCCAGTATCACTTTCCACAGCTCCCTGGCAGTCACCTCCTACTTCATCTGTATGAATTTGATGAAGGACTTTAATCACAGTTCTCATGCATCACGATTTCTTACCTAAGGCTGAACAGTTCCATTGCACACATGGTCTTTATTTTCAAGTTAAGTGTGTGGACACTGTTTGCTCATATATATTTGCCATGAGCATGAGTGTACAAATACCTCACTCAAGTCTCTGCTTTTGTTCTTTCAGGATCTGTGCCTAGAAGTGCAATAGATAATCATACAGTTAATTCTAATTTTAATTTTTTGAATAACTTTGTTTAATTGGCAAATTTTCCTCCAGGAGCCTGTATTGCTTTACAAGTGGAAAAGGGGAAAGGCATCTCCATCAGCTTAGTTCCCGATCTGGAGCCTGTGGTCAGAGTATGCATTAGAGTAGCAACTGTGACTCGATGACTTACCTGTGCTTTACTGCTGCACAGGATTTGTCTTAAAAGTCAGCTGGTAGCCAGTGGTCAGGTGGATGGGTTCCAAGCTTCAGATCTGAATTCTGGTTCTATCTCTATCATTTATCCTGCTGACCTTGATTGGGCAAATGAAGAGCCAGGGTTTCCCTTCCTGTAAAATGAGGATAATAGCTGCTTTGCAGACTTATGTGAGGTTTGCAAAATGCTTAGTCCACTGAGACAGTTTGATCTGTCAGTTTGACGGGATCGTGAGATAAACAAAGCTGCTCTTGTGCATGTCTAGTGCTCAGCAAGTTTTGTGAATGAGCATTCTCTAAAATAAAGGGTTTGCTGAGCCATATGTGTGCTAGCCAGAAAAGGATCAGATCCCAGAATTCGTTACTGTGGTTACCAGCAGCAAGACAGCCAAGAGCACTTTTATAAAGAAAATATGAGAAAGGAAAGCGAATTGTTTACATAGAACTAGCATGGGCTAAGGATAATGTAGTAGTGAAATGACATCATAACGTGGGAACATTTGGGCATGGAGGGCAATCTGAAATAGGCGCTTGCTGCTTCTGGAGTCCAGGTTGGGGTTAATCCAGAATGCTTATGGGTAAACTGAAGGTGGAGGCCTTTCAGACATTAGCTTTTTTGAAAGTTTCCTTTCTATCAGTATTTGTTCATGCTGTAGAAAAACACTTTAAATTTATCCAGCATCTTTGGAACTAGGAAAATGACTGCATTGCCTTAAAAAGATAGAAAACTAACTCCTAGGTATAAGACCATCCACTGGTTTAAAAAAAAAATCCATACCTCTTCTTTACCTTTATTCTTGAGACAAACCTGTTTTTTCATGGAGACATCCTGGATTCCCTCCTGATTCTTGAACATTTCTCCTTACTGTCATTCAGGTAGTAGTCAGGGGTCAATCCAGATTCCCAGTGCTTGCCAGGCAGAGCAAAGGCTGTTCCCCTGGCCTCTGTTATTGTCATCTCCCCAGAACAGTCTCCCTGGGACCTGGAGAGGTAACTGACAGCTGTCAGAACCCTAGTTACCATCTCATCACCTCACAGCACTTGTTAGTACCTGAAATTATTCCCCCCAACTCCAAGGGACCATGACAGGGACATAAGCAGATCAAAGAGCACTGCAAGGCCACAGGATTTGGCTCATCGTCTGTTTTGGCTTTTAATCCCCACTCTTGTTTCTTGCATTGTGTGTGGAGAATTCATTCTTCAGCAGAAAATGCTAGGTTTTACTTGCCACTAAATTTCATACCAGATTCCTGGAGCTTCCATTGGAAGGTGCATTAGAACCTAAGCTAAGAAGCAGAACCAAGAAGAGATATATTAGAAGAAATTGCCTTGTATAACTGGGCCTGGCAAGGCAAGTTGGAATCCTCTGTACAAGCCAACAAGAAGGGCAGATCAGTGGGACATGCAGGCTGGGGCTCTGTCCAAGCCAAAGCTGGTCCAGAGGTAGATTCTTCCTGCTTTAGGGATCTCCCATGCTGCTCTTGGTAATGCCTGTGGACTGATTGAGTCAGGCTCCCTAAAGATCTGAGGTGACCTTCATTTTTAAAACTCCATCAGAAAAAGGGGGAAAAAAAGGTTAAGCCTGGTGGTAGTGGTGCATGCCTTTAATCACAGTACTGTGGAGGCAGAGGCAGGCAGATCTCTGAGTTTGAGGCCACCCTGGACTACAGAGTAAGTTCCAGAACTACCAGGACTACACAGAGAAATCTTGTCTCAAAGGAAAAAAAAAATCCATCAGTAGTGGACTTGGTCAGTCTTTTAAGTACCATTTGTAAATAAGTGGAAACTAGCTGTACATTGGTTTTCCATAGCTGTGGCTTGAAGACACATATCACAACTAAGAGGAAGTGGCCATTCCTTTTGGTTCATGGTTTCACAGGTTACACCATTAGGGACTAGGGCTTGGTACTGTAGAGCAGGATGTGTGGGCATTCTCCTTTGCCTTTATTCCATCCAGACACCTGCTTTACAGTATGGTGTCATCTGCATTCAGACACAGGTCTCCCCACCTTTAGTCCTCTATGGAAACACCCTCACAGACACCCGGGGGTGCGCTTTACAAATCTCTTGATTTTCATTCGAATCAAGATTTAATTTATTGAGGCATACATACAAACATGTCTGTAATTCTAGCACTTGAGGCTTAAATTTCAAGGCCAGCCTGGGCCACACAGTTCCAGACAGCCTGACTATGTATACTACAGTGTGGTATCTTATCTCCAAAAACCAAATCTTACTATCATAAGCTTGGAAAACTGAAATAATACAAAGACATGACCACCACAGAGGGGAAGGGCCCTAATTTCTAGCTGAGATACTTTGAGAACCCCAGGAAGTGACAGAAACCATATCATCTGTTTTCTCAACTACCCTGACCCCATTTCTCTGATTGCCTGGACAGCAGCAATAACTAGAACATTCTTTCATAATTCTTATCCATTTTGTAGAGCAACTCATTTTGAGCCCAATTTCCTAGTGTTCCGTGGGTGGAATATTCCAGCCATCATCGTAATCAGTAGAAACTTGTGAATCATGGCTCCCAAAGCTCACTCATTTCCCATTCCAAGTGTATTCTCTTGGTGGGTCTAATGTTGTCTATGCTATGATGGTCTTCCTCTCAATCAGATTTACTCTATAGGTCTTCTTGCCTGGCATTTATTGTGAGACCATTGGGTGAATTTTAAAAATGTCTCCCATATAATCAGGAAGATAATGTTCATAACACTTTTGGATAATAAGGAAAAGAAGAAAAATCATGCTAGTGCCTATTCAGAAATAAGTACTAATAATATTTGAGTGTGTATTCTCTTGTGTATTTGTACATAAAAACAAACTACTTATGTAACTACTGTTCTTGCATGTTTGATTAGCTAACCCATGCGGTTAGGTTATTTGTCAATATTTAATGATTTTCTAAAACCAGTATCATAATTTACTTAACCAACCTCTCATTGGATGCTTATATTGTTTCCAGTTATTGGAAATTATAGAGATGACCAAGAAAGGTTTTTGTGTGGGTTTGTTTTGTTTGTTTTGTTTTGAGACAGGGTCTCACTGTAGAGCCCTTGCTTGCCTGAAACTTGCTATGTAGACCCGGGTAGCCTCCCAAGTGCTGGGATTAGAAGTGTATGCCACCCCATCCAGCCTGGAGTGAAATTTTTTATGCTGATCTTCATGTATAGTTTTGATTCTTTTATTCTTAGAAGTGAAATTACAAGAAGAAAAGGTATGAATTATGTAAAATGGTACATTATTATATACATGTTGACAGATTGTTTCCAGGTTGTTATATTACCTCAGGAAACATGGTAACATTTAATAAATATGACTTGAGAGGTAGAAGAGTCAGTATAACCAAAGGGTTTATTAGCTACTTAGTTTATTTATTTTGAAAAGGAAATCATTTATTTGCTTCCTTATGCATTTACCTCCTCAAAATTAAGGTACTCATTTGTCCGTTTGCTACTGTTGTGACACAGAATTCACCATCTCTCTCTGGTTAGTCATAGTCTGGCATAGTCTCGATTTCACTATGCTTTTCCAGGCAGTATCAACTGCTAACATGCTCTCCTTTGGCCTTATCAGTGACAGGGGTCTTGAGAAAGACCACGCCCATTTAGCTCCACAAGGTCAATTGATGATTGCCTCATTCTTGTCCTCTGTCCCTTTCCAACATTGCTTAGGAACAGTCTAATTAAGATTGTTTCCTTGCTCTGTCCCAGTGTCTTTACTAAGGATTGCCAGGCACAATGAAGGTTCTCTTATTGAAAGATGCCAAGGATGATGACAGTGGCCAGGACCCATATATCCAGGTAAGTGGCTGAGCCTTATTTCTTGGCCTCTGAACTAGAACTTCCTTGCTAATGGATGGAGGGGTGGGAATGCTAAGACTCAGTGAACTTGGTACATAGCTAATGTGTTATGCTTCCTTGTTTTCAGATAGCAGTTAATGTGCTTTCACAACCTTCCTTATTTTCAAGACAACCCTGGCCAACCAAGAATGACAGATAGTCTTTCATTTGCAGGAGCTGGGATTGTATGGAATGGAAGCTACACTAATTCCTGTTCTGTCATTTGAGTTTTTGTCTCTTCCCAGTTTGTCAGAAAAGGTAAGAGCCCCATGCTAGGGCTTGCCCTAGAATCCTTGCCAGCCCAAACCACAAGAGCGCTGGCCTCATTTTACCACTAGACATGAACACAAGGGCAGTACCCACTCACCTAGCTGCCAGAGATCCCCTTAGGCTTTTCCTCCTAAGCCTCAATCTGCTTCATCAGGAAGCTGTAGGCCCTAGAAATAGAGCCCCACCAGCATGGCTCTCAAGAGTTAGGGCTCTTTTAGTTCATCCCTGGCCTGTGCACAGAAGACTAGGCAGGGGTTTCTGATTTTACAGTGAGCTCTGGCATTGCAACTAAGCCAGGCACCTAGGCAGTAAGGAGGGCCAAATGCAAGCACAGGGTTTCTGGCCACCACTTTGCTCTACTCAGCACTTGACATACTGCGGGAGTCAGGCAGTGAAGCCTCCAAATGTTTCAGATTGATGGTGGCCTGAGGGTGTGCCGTGTGCACAATGCATGTTTGGTTCCCATATTGCAAAAACCAAAGATTTGGTATGGACACCTTGAGTAAATCCAGGTGTATGTATGCAGCAGCTTGGTGCCGGACTCAGAGGTGTTCAGTAAAGTGTTGTGTTTGAAGCCCAGGCTTTAGCTGGGTTTTACCTCCTTGATAGTCCAGTTGTCTTATTAATCCAGATCAAGTCTGCCCCTCTACCTGCATCTTACTCCACTGACCCATCCCATGCTGGGTCAGGTTGCCCTTCTGGATTAGGTTGCTCATCTCCTGGTTTGCAGTTGTGTGTCTCTGCCCAAGAAGGAACTTCATCAGGGAAGGGCTGTGATAATGAAGGGGCTTACCCCAAGCCCAGAATGGCTCCAGGCCCACAGTTAGCACCAGACAAGTGTCAGATGTATGTGTGTGTGTGTGGGGGGGGGTGGCAGGGTAGAAGAGCTGATTGCCCACTTCTTTGCCGACACACTCGGGCTCGGGCTCATAGCTCAAGAGGCTGAGACTAAGCCAGCATCTGTTGGTTTTGGTGCAGCTGTCTCATCCCGAAGGCTTTGGAGGACTCATTTTCACCAGTCCCAGGGCAGTGGAAGCAGTGAAGCTGTGTTTGGAGCAGGACAATAAAACTGAAGGTGAGGGCAGGTGGGCTCCAGGTCCCTCCACACTCTTACTTATCTCGTTTCTTTTCCGAGATACTGCAGTCCAGAGGTAGCTACATGCCCAACAGAACCCAGTGCCTGGGCATGCCAGCTTACAGGTGTCCCCTGGATCCCCACACAGACATGGCTGAGAGTGTTTTGTTTTATCATCTTTATTATTATTTACTTACTTCTTTGTTGGGTACATGCAGTGACGTGTGTAGAGGTCAGAGGGCAGTCCACAGGAGTCCCTTCTCTCCTTCCATCCCAGGGGTCCCAGGGATCACACTCAGATTGTGGCTTGGTGGCAAGCACCTTTACCTGCTGAACTAGCTCATCAGCCTTCAGTTGTCTTTTAGACGTTCGCTTATGTGTTGTGCCGATTTCTTTCTCTGAAAGTAGGCTAGTTGACACTTTACTCAAGTGGGAAAATGCTTCATGGCCCTGCCATACCCTTTTTGACATGGTTGTTCTCCATTACAGCAGTATGTAGTGACCCAACCCATTTCTTGATACCCAAGTTCCAGACTGAATACTTAATATAGTCTGGAGGCATGTACAGTACTGTGACCTCACTTACAGTCAAAACACAGGCTTGGGGAGTTCTTCCAGTGAAGGGAAGCAATTGGGAGATGGTTAGTGTTGGGGTTTCGGAATCCTGTAGCCCTGGATTCATGTAGCCATTCTGGCTACTGTGAGCTCCTTGACCTTTCTTCCTTTTGGTGACATGGACTTGGAATAAGCTCCATAACACCCAAACCAGGGGGTTACTCTCCTCACTAGCTGGAAAATGTCATGTCTGCTCTGTGCCGGGTGTGTTGAGCCACAAGTTTTTTGACGCGCACTGCATAGTCTGAGTCCGGTAGAGGAGCATCCAGGCTATTGTCTAGGGCAGAGTGGTCAGTGAAGGATTGGATGTGGTGTTGTCACTGTTGTGTCCTTGCACAAGTAGCCAGCTTGCTTTAGATACTGAGTGCCCAGTCTCCTGCTGAAGTGAGGCTGGGGCCTTAGAATGAAGAAGCAAGCAGCCTTAACATCTAGGTGGCCACTTTGTGTGCATAGCTCACATGTAATTCCATGTTTTGCAGACTGGGAAAAGACTCTGAAAAACAAATGGAATGCCAAGTCTGTGTACGTGGTTGGAAATGCCACTGCTTCTCTAGGTAAGGAGTCAAGGGAAGATGAAGAAAGTCCTAGGCGGGATGGATGAGAGTTCATACTCAGACCATATACAGCCTAGAACCCATTAACTACTTATTCCTGGAATTTCCTATTTAGTATTTTTCAGGCCGTAGTTGGCCAAGAGAAGCTGAAATGGAGGGAAAGGACAAGGGGGCCACACCCACCTACTGTGTTAAGGGCCAGCCTTACTGTAAGTTCTTCTGCCTCAGTTCAATTCCTGGGGACTTTAGGCTTCATGGCTCCCTTGTTCCTGGTAGCCTGTGTCAGCCTGCAGTACAGTGACAGCTTTGGTGCTGGACAGTTTACACCTCCATGAGGCTTTCTTCTCAGGCGCAGTACATTGCTAATGAGCCACAAATGAAAAGCTGGTGGTGGTATGCCTGTTGGTGGCAATGTGGGTAGCAGCTGTTTGGCTCCTAAATGAGTACCCACCATATATCTTTCCTCTGGAAGTTCTGTGTTCCTCTGTGCAGGTAGCCATGCTGCAGGCCCTGCACATTCTCTGTCTTTCATACTCATTCTCTTTCTGTGGAGTAGCCACATACTCACTCTCTGGAGAAGGCAAGGAACCTTTATCTGTCTGTTTCTTGTTTTATTCCAGAAGAGCTTGGCCAGGTGTGGTAGCACACACATTTAATCCCACCCAGCACCTGGCAGTCAGAGGCAGGAGGATCTCTGTGAGTTGGAGGCCAGCCTAGTCTATGGAGAGAGCTCCAGGATTACATTGAGAGAGCATCTGGGACAGCACCCTCCCTAACTATCTATGTCCACAGTGTTATGGGTCATTGTAGGTTGTTGTGAAACTTTTCCTCTGCTCCCTCCATTCCAGTCTGGCCGTGTGAGCCCATTACCCCTTTCTGAGTGGGAGCTGATCACCTTTCCCTAATGAAATGAGGACTCTCTAAAGAGATGCTTTCAAAACTTAGCAGCTCCCAAATGCTCACCATCTCCTGACTGATAAGCAGATGCCAGCAGTTGGCTTCATTATCACATAAGCCTAAGAGTCTTACAGGGCCCATGTTTTTGGCTCATGTAGATAAGTGGGGTTCAGAAAAGCTAGTTAAGACTAAGACCCCTGTCTAAGGAAGGTGTGCCCAGGGCACCCTCATCTGGGAAAGGATAACTGTGGTCTTTCTACTTGACTTCCAGAGGACACATCTCTGTGATGGGAAAACAGTGCTTGTACATTTGCACTGCAGGAACAAAGGGTTTCAGTAACTGTCAAAGGGATTCACCTCTTTGTCATTTTCCAGTGAATAAAATTGGCCTGGATGCAGAAGGAGCACACAGTGGAAATGCAGAGAAGCTTGCTGAATATATTTGCTCCAGTAAGTGAAGACTCACCCTCCCCCACAAAGCATGCTCCCAACAAAGAACTGACTCCCCATAAGGTCTTTGGTCAGAGCATGGACCAACCTTAGGACTTTTTGGATTTAGCTGGTGATTTGTCTTAAGCTAATTATAATGTTTTAGGCATCTGAAGAATACAGAGGACAGTTTTAGAATGGAGAATTTGGAGTGAGGACAGGAGAATTGAGGATGCCCTCCTCAATGCTGTGTCTCCTGTCCTCTTCTCTGTCTGTTTAGTCCAGCAGTAGACACAGGGACTCACAACTGTGTCACCCAGCCACATGCACTGAAGGAGAATCCTCTTGCTCTGTGAGCAGAGGAAAACTGGACCTGCTCTCATGGTCATCCGGCTAGGTATTCACAGTTTTGCAACAGGTCTCTATCAGTGCTACCAGACTGTAGTTGAAACAGGAGAACATCTGGGGAAAATGTAAACCCTGGGTCTTGGCTCTGACTGTGTCTGTAATGTGCTGACTTCTCTGAGGAATTGCTGGACTGGGAGAAGGGCAAGATGGAGTGCTGATAGAGCTTTGGCTTTCCTCAAAATTGTAGGAGCTGAGCATCTTCTTTTCATCTTAGCATATTATCAGGGCAAAGAGAGGAGGACCTTCAATCTTTTTATGGCTTTTCAAACAATGATGGATGAAACAAACTATGCTAACCATGCTTCTTGAAGTGGTATTGGCTTTTGTGATCTGCAAACTTGTATGCCAAAGTCTTCTGTGGTTCTCATGCCATAAGTTACTCCCATTGCCAAAAAGTTCTTTAGCTTTTACATTTTAGTGTTCCTCTGGAAGCTGCTCCTCACAAGCCCTGAATCATGAACTTTGGACTGGGGCTCCCTAGATCCAGACAGGCCCTGGGCAGAGCCACCTCCAGATTTCAGCAGCAGGCAGGGGATGGCAGGTACAGACTCCAAGCTGACAATTCTCTAGTTTTTTTTCCAGTATGGAAACAGACATCTGTCTTGGTTAGCTTTGACTGTCAACTTGACACAGCCTAGAATGACCTGAGGAATCTCAATTGAGGAATAACCTGGATCAGACTGGACTGTGGATATGTCTTTGGAGTATTGTCTTGATTGATAATTGATGTAGGAGGCCCCCCCCCACTGTGGGCAGCACTATTCCCTGGGCAGGTGGTGCTGGGTTGCACAAGAAAGCTAGCTAAGCCTAACTGAGCCTGTGAGCAGTCAGCAAGGAGCTTTCCTCTACAGTTAGTTTCTTGCTTCAAGTTCCTGCTCTTCCCTCAGCGATGGACTATAACCTGTCAGCTGAAATAAACCCCTTCCTCCCTAAGTTGTTTTGGTTATAGCATTTATCATAGCCATGGAAATGAATCTAGAGCATCTTTCTATTTAAATTGTTTAAGTGTTAACAAAAAATTATACATATTAGTGGCATATCAGTTTCTTTTAAAAACAATTTAAAAGCTGTGGAATAGTTGAGTGTCAGAGTACTTCTCTAGTATGTATGAGGTCCTGGGTTCATTCTCTAGCACAAACAAATAAATTAGTATTTGACTATCTTTCTGCTAATTAAATGCCTGGCATTAACACTGAGAACTAGCATTCATGAGTGCTCAGTGTACCCCAGGAGCCAGTCTTCATAGCCGGGCAGGGAAAGAGCCATGTCTAGTGACAAATGTGCCATCCAGGATGGTAGCCAAAGCAATCCAGACTAAATACGATTCACATTCACTTCCTCAGACACATGGGGCACGTTTCATAGTTTAGGCATCACTAACGGCTAGTGACCCTGCATTGGACAATGAAGCATTCCTGTCATCACTGGAGTTCTTTTTTAGTGTGCTGTTATTGAGGCACTGGGAGACAAGGGCCTCAGGCTCTGAGGTAACAGGGCTAGAATTCAGACTTAGACCTGCAAAACCATTGATGTGTGTGGACCATCACCTTCAGCAAACCTAACTGAACCCTGCTTTGTGTCCACTTACCTTCAAGGAGCTGCTAGTCAGGCACCACCTAGATTCAGAATGAGAGTTCTAGGGTGCTTTGGGAGGCCTTCGGCTTACAAATACCTGATAGGTCTTCTTTAAAGAAGGAGCTCTAACCGTGGTGGTTTGTCAAGTCTACATTCTCCCAAACCCCATGTTCATTGGCATGCGGAGGCCTGTTGGGCACCTGATGCTTGGACTGAACCTCTTTTTCCTACTTCTATACTCTCTGCAACTTCATAGAAGACAAAGTCAGTTCAATCTGCCTTAGCAGACATTTAGTCAGACACCCAGGGCTGTTAGAGTATAGGGCTGGAACCGTCCAGCCTTCCTGCCTCCTAGGAGCTCCCAGTATATGCTAAGACTTGGGAAGGCAAGTGACTCAAGCAGTGAAAGGAGCAGCAAACCAAACAGGTTTTTCCCCCTACACCAACAGCCAAGTGTCCAACTCCTCAGATACCAGCTGGGCATTCATAATGTAATTCAATTCTGAATCAACCCAGAGTAAGGCTCAATCCCACAAGACTGCCCAACTTTAGATGTAAATATTGGTGTCTAAGGGATTCACACTCTGTCCAACTGGGATACAGATCTGATCCCCACAGCCCCTTCCTGAGGGTCAGTAACTTGGAAGAATGGCTTCTAGAACTCAGGGCAACACTCTGCCCATGTTCACTGGTCTATTATACAGGGCATGATGAACATACAGGCACCAAGCCAGATTTAGAGGCATAGCAAGAACTGAAGCATAGCTATACATAGCACCCAAGACTGTCTTTTAAAATGTAACCCTAAATGTAAAGGATAAATTGTGCTGTCCTCTTGGAATCAAACGCCAGCTTTTAGGAGGGATAATTGCCCATTCCATAATGGCATTTTGCTTTCACCTATCTCCAGAGAAGGTCTTAAGTAATACTCAAGTTCCATTAATCAATTCTAGAAGGAGACAAAAGTGCCTAAGTCATTGCTCATTGTAAAGTCTGAGGCCACCAGGTTGGTTTCCTTGTTTTGTAAGCACAAGGCAGAGGGTCATTGCCAATGTGAGCTCCCTTACTGTGCTTCAGCTAACTGGCCCAGGCTTGGCAGGCTGGACAGTAACATGCTGTACCCTGTCTCTGGAGATTGGTTCTCCCCTACTTGCCAGTACTAGGGTTCAAACTCAGATCATGAGGCTTAGATACAAATACCCTTATCCAGCCCTGGTGCCAGCCCTGAGATGCAGTCTTTGCAAAGCCATTGTGACTTCTAGTTTATTACCAGCATGTCTTCAGGCCTAATAAATCTTCCATTTGTAACTAGAATGTGCAAATAAAATCCTAGTTAACTGCTGCTAATGAGGACCTTTACCTGGGTTTTTATCAAGACATTAATGAGTTTCTCTTAATGTTAACTTTGCAGCCCAAAGTTTTTTCTTTCTTTTGCTTTTTAGTTTGTTTTGTTTTTTCAAGACTGGGTTTCTCTTTGTAGCCCGGAATGTCCTGGAACTTGCTCTGTAGACCAGGCTGGCCTCAAACTCAGAGACCTGCTTGCTTCTGCCCCGAAAGTGCTGGGTGTGTGCCACCATCACCCCCCACAACCCAATTTTAAAAGTTACAAATATACTTCCAGTGTGTGTGGTAACAAAGCCAACTCCTAGTTGTTGCTCATTATTTTACTTACACTATGAGACAGGCATTATTGTGGGCACTCCTTATAAACAGTTGCCCTCCTCTCTTCAGTCTCTCTTTGAATGAGAGAGTAATTACAAGGTAAGTGGTACAGAATTGAAGATTGTCACACTTAAAGAGGCAGAGAAGCCAAAGCAGACTGTCATTCCTTTCTTTGAAATGACCCCCTGGATGTACAGAGTTCCTACTCCCATGCTCCAGTTACCTTCAGTGCCCTGATGACCTGCAGTTGAGGCCTGAATGCACAACTCACTTCTTACCTACACCAGGAGCTGCTCCTTTTGTGCATATCTCACTGTCTTGTAGAGACTGTTCCTCAGGACCCTCCTCAGCAGCATTGTCGTGTGTGTGTGTGTGTGTGTGTGTGTGTGTGTGTGTGTGTGTGTGTGTTTGTTTGTGTGTGTGTGTGTGTGTTGTTGTTGGTGTGTGTTGTTGTTGTTGTTGTTGGCTCCATCCATTGCATTGGCTTAAATAGATTGAAAATCAGCAAGCTTTGCAATTGCACTGACCTGATCAGGTTAAAAATAAATCCACAGAAATTAAAGCTTTTTAAAAAAAAGGGCGCAAGAGTGGTTGTGATAGTGTAGTTCTATTTCATTCAGTTTTAAAGCCAGATCTCAAAATTCTGCAACCCAGGCTCCCAGTGCAGACAAGGCATGTTTCAAACTTGTGGTGATCCTCCTGCCTTAGTCTCCTGCATGCCAGGATCATAGGCAAGTGCCACCACTCCCAGCTGGTTTTTTACTTTGGGCAAACAACTCTCAGAAAACACAGTTCATTAGACTGTCAACAGCAGAGTTCCATGTGAACATACGCAACCTTCCCTTCTTTTATGCCCATAGGGTATTCCCTTCCTGGCTGAGCTGGCTGACTATTCATATGTGAGCCGCATGTGCCTAGGTGGCAGATCTAGGCCAGACAAGCCTATGTCCTCAGAAGCCCTGCACCACTGTAGTCCAGCCTCAGGGGTAAATGAGTTCCTATGCTTCCCACCAATCTAGGAATAACAGTATGACAAGACAAAGGGGAGAGGAGATTTTTTAATCATCTAGAAGCTCTTTTCATGCCTTTGGGGCAAGATTTGCTGGAAAGTTGAGCTGTTTGGCTTTCCATAAGTACCCTAGAAAGGACTTTAGCCCCTAGCTTCCTTCCTGCACCTTCAGGCCACAACACTTGCATAAAGACACAGAGAGCCGCCTAGGCTAGAGTGGAGAGTATAACACTTGAACATGTCTTTAAAACCGTGCCTAGGAAGTACCTGCAGCACTTCACTGGAAAGAGAACTCAGCAGGCAGCTGTGATCTATAGTTAATCATTTCCCAAGCCATGAGCTCTTCTTTGTTGGTACCAATATTTACAGAGCAGTTTAAATAAAACATCCACCAGCATGCCACTGATGCTTGCACTTCAAACACAGTGGCCTACAGCTAAGCCTGTCACTTAGCTACTGCTTCTCAGAGCCAGTGCTAGCTGGGGAGAGTTTGTTTCATTCTTCCTCTGATCTCAGTCACCAGTGGTGTGTTCAGGGAGGGATCATTGTGGCACAGGAAATATGTGATGTTTGTGAACGAGCAACATCCATTACATTTCTTGATCTGATACGGAAGAAATGGTTGGTGAGGAAGGTTCTTGCCTCTGACAGTCCCTCAGTTTGGTGGGGTGGTTTTGTTGCAACTTGCTGTTCTGTCAGTTGCAAAGTGCTCAGGACTGAACATTGCCTCAGGCCTTCACAGGTAGAAGTGGGTATTGGGGTACAGTGGGATGGATTCAGGTCCAGTGGAGCAGCCTCCTGCCTTTTATGCCCTTTAGGCACTTGCTTAAGGGGCTACTCACAGGGCTGGGCAAATAGCAGGCAGGGAATTTGTCTTTGTTGGAGGTGGCTACAGAGCAAGTGCCAGTTCCTTACTGTCTCCTGCGCATATGCCTGGCTCATCCAGAACCCCCTCCAGAGCTAGGAAATATGCCCAGTGCCAATACCAGCCGAGTCCATCCTTATATTCTTACATAATTAAGTACAAGGCCTACACTCCAGATGGGGACTGTGGTCCAGGGAGCCACCTGGAGAGCCCAGGCAGCAAGTAGGACAGTGGTGCCTTGTTTCTGTGGCTGAGTTTTCTAGGCTCTTTGCTTACCTTTCCTCTTGATGGGTTCTTGATGAAACCCTTCAAGACCAGCCCAGTACAGCAATTGCCCTTCCTGGTGATGGATGCTGCCATTGATATCTTACAGTAGAGCTGAGCCTGTGCCCCCAGCCTCACCCTCCTGAGATTTGTTCTCCATGTGCCTCTGTGCAGTGTCACCCTTCATGATTTTACAGAGGTTTTACTAAGCTCTTGCTATGTCTGGTTGTGTGTTCACAGGGCCGTGTTCGGCACTGCCTCTTCTCTTTCCCTGTGGAACTATCAAAGGAGATACTCTTCCAAAAATGCTCAAGGACAAAGGTGAGTAGAATGAGCTAGTGGCATCCCCAAAGATGAATGTCCTGAGGCCCAGGAGGCACACATGACCCTGTACAGACAGAGCCGGGGTGCAATTGGATCTCCTGAAGCTAAACCTCACTTCCTGGTGGGATTCATGGAGCAGCCAGGGTCAGAGCTGTGTGGACAAACTCACACAAACATGAGAGCCAAAGGCATCTGTGGGTACTGATGAAAGCTGTGGTTTCTGGGCCTTTCCCTGCTAACTCAGCCTTCCCGATTTCAGTTTGATTCCACAGTGCTCTGCAGGTCACAGGACTGGACAGGGTCTTTTGCCTCCCTTGTGGAGCTTTGCATTTCTGAGGAGTTGGTTCTCAGAGGTTCCCGTCAGCTACACACGAGGGTGCAGAGGCCCTATCCCATTCACAGTACCATGAAGCCTGTCTCCTGGTTTTGCTTCTGCACAGGGATCCCCATGGAAAGCATGCATGTCTATCAGACAATTCCACACCCTGGAATCCAAGGGAACCTGGAGAGCTTCTATGAAAATCAGGTATGTAGGGTTTCCAGGGAGAGCAAGGCCTGGCAGGGTGGGCCCTGGGGGAAGGAGCATGAGTTGGGGGCATGAGATTGCAGATGTTGATTCTTGTTGGGGTTCTATCATTTCCAGCCATGTGACTGAGCAAGTGGCTTTTCTGCAGCTCCATTGTGTGTCTGTGATATGGAAATAGACCCATCCAGTGTCAGTTGTATAAGGATTAAAGAAGATAATTCATACAAAGCTATTTGTATAACATCTACCATATACAAAGGCCTGAAATATACAGTGGCCTTGTCTCTCTCCATTCTGTGGTACAGAGGCTGAGCCCACACTGGGAAGACCCACTGTGGAGTATAGGTTGGGATTGGGAGACATGGGCCAGGAGAGTGGAGAGTGCTTCTTAAGTTAATGACTATCTCCATCCTTCCCATTCAGAAGTCACATCCCTTTGCCCTCCTAGAACAGCTTCTGCATACCATGCCTGTTCTAGGGTTCTATTGGTCAGTCCCAAGTGTAGAGAAACCATACGGGCTGGCTGGTCATTGTCTGCTGTGTCCCTAGTGAACAGAAGTTGTCAGAAGCCAACAAGAAGACTGTTAATTCCATGAGGGCTATTTAACCTCAGGGGCTGGAGGTGTCTCCACTGGTAAAGACTGGGCTCCATGCCGTCAGTGTCTTCTGGCCAAAAAGACCAAGGGCCAGCAGAACCCTCGGTCAGTGGGGATTGCCAGCCTCTTCAACCTCAGCCTGCTTTATAAACAGGTCCTTCGAATTACATGCCCTGGTGGGCTGAGAATGGCACAAATCCAGGGATCATACTGATGCAGAGCCCCTGGGGCTTCTGGGGCTGGAAGGGTTAATGTTGATGAGCTGAGGAATGCTGTCTAGGGGCAAAGGCTGGGTCTCATCTTCTCCTTTCCCATAGGGTGTCCCAGCCAGCATCACATTTTTCAGTCCCTCTGGTCTCAAATACAGCCTGGAGTATATTCAGGCATTATCTGGTGGCAGCTTTGATCAGATTAAGGTATGATATTCTATGGACTTGGTCTTTTTCTCGTTACTGTATCCTAGAATTTCCATGTCGAGTCAGATGCCTGTGAGGTGACTGGAGAGCCTGAGGGGGCTGCTACTTCTTTGAGGGTTCTCTGCATACGTTGCTGATCTCCTCTGGGCTGGTCTTATTCTAACTTAGGGATATTAGCCCCAAAGTTTTTGTCCTGTATAGCCAACTGTCTGGCCTTCTCTATGTGGCATTGTCCTCCGTTAGTTGAGGATTCAAGTGAAGCCCTTCTGGCAGGGTTTAATGTGGGCATGGGTGCCTTCCCCTCCTTTATTCCATGTTGAAATGGTTTTCTAGTCTAGAAACGTCTGTTTTTACTTAAAGGGTTTACATTCACACTTTCAGGGACTATATTTGTTACGAGTCTTTAAGTGACAGCTCTTGTGGCACCTGCAACAGAAGTGCCCTTGACCAGACTTCACAGGGACTGAGAAGGCACAAAGTGTGGCCTAGAACCCAGGGACAGTAGGTCCCATCCCCACCCCACAGAGTTCACTTCAGTCAGGTGACTCTAGCACATTGGCTTATCACAGATGCATCTCACAGGTGGGTCGCACCTGGACACCAGACTATTTTTCCCAGTTTCAAGGTGGAATGTTAGATGCAGAGCCACTGTACCCTGCCCTGCAGGAAAGGAAGGATCCACGGTTGGAACCCAAAAAGGTGCATGCCAGGCTGTGGGCTGTGGTGATACCTAGCCATCGTTTAGCAGTTACCGGGAAGTAGTTAAAGTTCTTGCAGCTTATGCTTATGTGGGGATCCAGCAGGATGGAGGTGACTGTCCTCCTTAAAGGGAAACTGAGCATAGAGGTCCAACACCTTGCTAGTATCATATAGCGAATACTAGAAGGCCAATTTTTATGAGGGTTACTATGGGAGGAAGCTGGCACCCGAGTCCTGTGGTGGGCTTGAAGAGAAAGGTCTATGGGAGCTCAACATGGTCACTGGCTGAGTGAGCACTTGGACGTGAGGGAAGAGTTAGCAGCAGTGCCAGTGTTCACGTGTCTCTGTGGACCTAGCAGATGAGTCACCAGGTAACTATGAAGTGCCTGGACAGCTGTGATGGGAACGTGCCTAGCACTCATGCTGGTCTACCTCAATAAAGTGCCTGTACCACTATGACTTTACTGTGTCCTCATCCTAAGCAAACTCTAGTTGGAGTAAAATGGACACTTGGAATTTCAACTCTAGACTCATGGAGCAGCTGGCGCATAGCAAAGGTGCCCATCCTAAATCTGTCCCATTCCTTTCTGTAACCCATGGGTTCTTGGCATCCCCCAGTCATCATTCTGCTGGGGCCTTGGGATCTGCAGCTGCCAGGAAAGGAAGAGTTTCAGGAATAACATTGATCTCAACAACTGTGGCTTATTCCAGAGCCAGAAAGCCAGGATGAAGTAATGAGAGTCTTTCTTCATCAGTGGGACTTAGTGCCAGCCCACATGGGTACTGTTGAGGTTGACAGAGGACAGAGTCCTGATACGTGTATTGGGTGGCTTGGTATTCCTGTTTTAGCTCTGCCTTTCTCTGTAGGAGTGTTTGTGAGACCCAGTGTTTATACAGTGCTGTTTAAAATGCAGGGGTTCACACAAGGTCAAGGGGTAACTTATGACCTGTGCTTGAATACCACAAAGGAGCCATGCCAGAGCAGATGAGAACTTTGTGGCACCTGACACATAATGAATGGAAGCCATTGCATTTTCTTTCCTGCCTTCTCACAGTGACCACATGGCCTGTGGTGTGGCCATGTGTGCACCTAGAGGTCAGTGAGCATATACTTGTGCCCAGCACTGAACACGTGGTTCACCCAGATGGCTCATGTAATCCCCTAGCAGCCCAGTAGAAAGCCTGGTTGAGATAAGAAGGTGCGGACAGAGGGAGTGAACGCAGGGATTTGAACCCTGGCCTTCCAGCTTCTGTGTTCTGTGTTCCTGGGCATCCAGACCCACCTTGGCACCCTATGCTCCCCACTTGCTCCCACCCAGAGCCCCTGGCATTGGAGCAGACCTGTCTGCAGCTGGAGCTCCTGAGGAAGATGGTGTCTGCCCAGGCTTTGTCCCCACACACCCAATCCTAAGGCTGCGTGCACTTGTGGCAGGAGAGGATAGTGAGATCCTGCCTGAAGTTATTGTGCAGACTCTGAAGCCAGCTTCAGATTAGGTTGAACTGTTGTTTATATGAAACACCATACAGAAAGTCTGTACAAATGACGCCTGCACACAGCCCTTGCTGTGGTGCTGAGGCTGTGTCTCTTGTGTCTTGCCTCCTTGCAGTTTGTAGCCATTGGCCCCAGTACAACTCGTGCTATGGCTGCCAAGGGCCTGCCTGTGAGCTGCACAGCAGAGAGTCCCACGCCACAAGCACTGGCTGCAGGCATCAGGAAAGTGCTGCAGCCCAACAGTTGCTGCTGAGGCTGTGCTGGGCCAGCTCCTTCCCTGTGCGTGGGACAGCTTGCTGCTGCCTCTAGAATGGAGCCAGAATCAGAGAAGGTCTCTGGAGAAGCTGCTGTGAGCATGTCTCTGTCCTCTGTGGAGTCCAGCTTGGAACATAGGCCAGGTGCACACTGGCCATTGGACCCTGGGAAAGCTTCCTGTGCCTAGAAAGAAGGAAATGAAATCAATCCCATGGTGACTTGTGCTTGCTGCCCACTAACTTTTTAAATTGTATTTATGTGTATGGACATCTTATCTGCATGTATGTTTGCTGTGTGCATGCCTAGTGCCTGCAGAGGCAAGGAGAGGGTGTCAGATCCCCTAGAACTTGAGTTAGACACAGTTGTGAGCTACCATGTGGGTACTGGGAATTGAACCCGAATCCTCTTAAAGAACAAGTGCTCTCAGTCACTGAGCCATCACTCCAGCCCACTATTATCATGTGTGGTTTTTGGTATAAAGCTGTGTTCAGGGGCAACATACAGAGTCTCTGATGCTGACCTGCTAAGCATGATAAATTTATTCATTATACAAAAAATAAAACAAGGCTGAGCCAAGCATGGTGGCACACTCATCATCCCAGCATTCAGGGAATTCAGCAATGAGTTTAAGGCTAGCCAGGACTATATAATGAGATGCTATCTCAAAACCCCAAATAAAAATAATCAAGACCTCCTCAAATTCTGTCTTTATCTTTTCTGTGGATAATTATGCTTCAAATAAAAGATTTTATCTCATTCTGAAACATAACTGCAGCATGTCCATTGGGTTAGTTGCTTTTGGAGAGGGAGAAGAAGAAAGAAGAGGGGGAGGAGAAGAGAAGGGGAGAGAAAGAGATGTAGTGCCCTGCAGAAAGGCTCTGAAAAATCTGGCCCCAAACTGTTTCTTCTAGGCCAGTGATTCTCAACATGTGGGTCACAACCCCTTTGAAGTTTCAAATGACCCTGCACAGGGGTCACACATCAGATATCCTGCATTTCAGATATTTACACTATGATTCACAATAGCAGCAAAATTGCAGTTACAAAGTAGCAACGGCAATAGTTTTTATGGCTGGGGGTCACCGCAACATGAGGAACTGTATAGCATTAGGAAGGTTGAGAAGCACTGTACTAGACAGTCCTGGCCTAGACCTGTGCTGCGTTAAGAAGTCATCCTAGGGGCTGGCGGTAGGGAAAGTGGCTGTACACTGGCAGAGCTGTCTTCGTGGAAGGCCGGGTTGGAAGGTACCTTCCCCGAGTGCACACCATGCCCAGCCTGGTGCCATTAGTTTTCACATGTGATCTGATCCCCAGAGCACCTCTAAAAGCCCTAAGCCCTGGAGTCACTGGTGTGTGCCCTGGGAAGGGAATTGGGGAACTGTGGTCTCTGGCTTCCTACTTGAATATGACCCTGATTCCTAAACATGCTTCTATCACTGCTGCTGGCCTTGAGGTGACACAGCTAATGAGAAGAGAGAAGCTTACAAGGATGCGAGTGCCATTTGGACTTCCAGGCCACAAAGAGCTTCGTACGTGGACAGAGGCACTGCAGAAAGGGTCTGTGGTGAGCATCGCTTGCTTTGCATGGTATCTTAGAACCTAGCTCAGACTTCCTGACCCGAAAGTTCACTGTGAACTTTCAAATCCCCCCATCCTCAAAGAACCCTTCTCTGTGGAGGATGCCTGTCCTTGCAGGGAAGAAGAGATACCACAGTCAGTGCTGAGGACACTGGCAGCATCTTCACATTCAGCCTTAGATGTCCTGAGAGCATTGCATCTGGCAAGCTCTATCAGATTGCAGTGTCATCCCACCATGCAAGGACAGGCGGCTTATGCCACAGCAGACTGGCCCTGTGGAGCTGAGGTGCAGCCGGAGAGGAGACCTGGGCACAGGCTGCCACGTCAGCAGTGTCAGCTGACCTTGCTGTCCGTTTTTAGACCATTGCCATGCAAGCCTGGCAACCTAAGTTCTGTTGTCGAAACATACAATGGCGACAAAAGCGATCCCACAGAGTTGTCCTCTGACCTTCACATCACACACACACACACACACACACACACACACACACACACACACACACACGAAACGTTTGCTTCATTTTTGTACTTTTGGCTAAGGCAAAGCTGTGAGCAACAACTTTAAAATTATGTACAATTAAAGTTTCCATAGAAACACTTGTTTGTTGGAATAGCGTACCACGGGTGCATGTTTCCTCTCAGTATGTTCAATGATTTAAAAATGATCTATTTTTATGTTCATTGGTATTTGCCTACATATATGTCTGTGTGGGGGGTGTCAGGTCCCCTGGAACTGGAGTTATAGACAGCTATGAGCTGCCATGTGGACCAGAACTGAATCCAGGTCCTCTGGAAGAGCAGCCAGTGCTCTTAACTACTGAGCCATCTCTCCAGCCCTCTATTGCATTTCCTCCCATGCAATGGAGGCTGTTGACACTGGTCTCCAAGTCACCTAGTGATCGCAGATGAACACAATGCAGGAGACACCTGTGAACCTTCTCTGATGGTGGTCACCTTAGAGCTGCATGCAGTGAAAGGAAAGGTACATCCTCTCCAAAAGAAACCAGGCTAGAGGATGGCAAGGTCATCAGAAGTGACCATTTCAGGTCTCTGGAATAGTCTGGACCCCTGACAATGAGACACATTTACTGGCAGATGCTGAACTCGCCACAGCAGGTGATGGAGGAGACAGAAACCAGCCGAGGCAGAGTTTAAAAAGACAGTGGAAGACATGGGGTGAAAAGGGGTTCCGCCACTCCTAGGAAAGCTGAAGGAGACAAACACACTGACAGGCAGCAGAGAAGGGGCCTCGCCATCTTGGCGAAAACTGAATGTTGTCTCCAAACTATAAATGTCTCCTTCATAGTCTTCCATCTCTGGTGCCAAATGGCCCTGGTCACAGCTAGGCTTCAAGAAGGTCAGGGCAGGACTTGGGTGCAGATGGGGACCTGTGCATGGCCTTTGCCATGAGATTCCAGGCTCAGCTCTAGACTCCAGGGGTGAAAGGGCTGCCTCTCACTCCCTCAGGCCTTGTGTAGTACGTTGTAGGCCTCAGTGGTTCTAGTTTATCCTCACATAGACTCACTGATGACAGACTGGGACTCTGCAATAAGTACCTGTATTCAGGAACACTCAGGCACTCGGGCTTCTGTGGCGTTGTGACACATGTACATACACTTCTCTATGGACATATGTGTGTCCGCAAGAATATTCTCCATGGTACTGCCCCACCACAGGGGCTCAAGCCCCTTTTCTTGCACTGGTTTTAAAATTTACTTTTCTATATGCTGATTAGACTCCCTCACTTGCTCCATCCCTCCTTCCCGTTTTTTACATATACAATGTTCTGCCTGCATGTATGCCTGCAGGCCAGAAGAGGGCACCAGATCTCATCAGGGATGGTTGTGAGCCACCATATCATTGCTGGGAACTGAACTCAGGACCTTTGGAAGAACAAGCAGCCAGTGCTCTTAACTGCTGAGCCATCTCTCCAGCCCATCTAGTTTTTAAAATTACATTATTATTTACTATTTATTTGGGCAGCAGGCAGTGAGTATGCTCATGGAGGTCAGAGAGCAACTTGCAGAAATTGGTTCTCTCCTACCATGTGGAGCCAGGGATTGAATTTAGGTCTTCAGGTTTGGCAGCAACTGCTTTTACCTTCTGAGCCATCTTGCCTACCCATTGACATTCTTTTCTATAAAGAAAAACAACAAAACCAGTAAGAAGAAAATTCAAAGCCAGGTGGTGGTGTTTTTTAATCCTAGCACTTGGGAGGCAGAGACAGGCAGATCTCTATGAGTTTGAAACCAGCCTGGTCTACAGAGTGAGTTCCAGGACAGCTAGGGCTGTTACACAGAGAAATCCTGTCTCAAAAATGACAAAAAAAAAAAGTTGAAAACAAATTCTAGAAATAAATTAGCATGCCCTAAGCCTTAGACCACCCAGAAAAGAGACCCGAATAGGAGCAAATTGAGGGTTACGGTTTTAAAGCTGCAGGCCCAGTTCTAAAAGGCATGTTAGGGCTCTGGCTGGGCCTTCAGAGCAGCACAGGTGGACAGGTGGACACACCCAGCACTTCTCCCTCAGTTCATTTAGGAGCAAACTCAACCAGGGAAGTCAACACAGGAGAGCAATCCACAGGTTCATCCATCACTCAGAAGTACCTTACCCCAAGACTGAAGGAAGAGGAGTTCTCACACCCATGAGAAAAGTGGCCCTGGAGTCTTCAAAGGCAGCACACCAGGACCTCAGAAGAGGCTTCCTAGCAGGCACACTTCAGGGCTGGGTGAAGAATGCTTGCTTGCTTGCTTATAAAAGGGTCCTACCATGTCCTGCCCCTTAGGAGGGGAGACGGAGACGCAGCAAGGTAGGACCAGAGTCCCAGTGAGGCCATGTTTGCTGCCTCTGTCTTGCGTCTGACACTGTTGTTCTGCTGGCTGGTTGCACCCCAGCCCACCCAGCCTGAGAGGCTTTTTCACAGCCGGGACCGTTCGGACCTGGAGCCATCACCTCTGAGCCAGGCCAAGCCCATTGCTGACCTCCGTGCTGCTCAGGTAAGAGGAGACCCACAGAGCAGCAGCATCTGTATACACACACACACACACACACACACACACACACACAAACACACGAGAAGAGGCCAGAGCATACACACACATACACACACACACACACACACACACACACACACACACACACGAGAAGAGGCCAGAGCATAACATGGAAGGATGGCTGTGCAGAGACAGAGCCTGCTTAACCTGGTGTCGTCTTTGTCCAGCTGGGTATGACACTTGGAGCCTTGCACAAGCCAGGCAAGCTTGCTACCACTGAATTGCACCTGACTCTGACACTAATCTTAGCAGCATCAGTGTCTAGGCAAGATCGGCCCTGTGCAGAGAGCAGTTTTAAATGTCAGAGGACATTCGAATGTGAGCTGCCAGTCTAAGGCACGATGCTGATAGCATCCCTTGGTTGGTCTCCTGCCAGTCTGAGCATACACACAGCTCCAGCAAAGATTCCCTGCACCATGCTATTGAGTGGCATTCACTGATACAAGATCAGGGCTCCCTTTCTCCAATCATGGGTTGAAGTTAAGAGTGAATTTGAGCAGACCTCCTGATCCTTGACAGCCCCTGCAGTCTGGTGGTTATCAGGCACCAGAAGCAGACAGATGATCAAGATTTCCCCCTAAACTCCTGACTCCAGGGTGCCCCCATGATGGAGGGCAGTGAGACGAGATGATGAGTCGAGCTTGCCTCAGATGCCAAGCAATACCCTTGCTTCCCCTGCCTTCCCTGTCCTTGCATGCTAGAAGCCTACTGAACTCTCAGAATGAGTCTTGTCCAGTCCTTGGGAGTTGGGGAGTTCCAGCTTCTTGGACAGGCCTCCCTCTCAGCTCCTCAGCCCAGCGTGCAGTACCTCCAACCTTGACCTCTTGCCTTTGGCATGACTCCTTCCCTCCCGGTCCCACTACCTGGCCTGCTTCAACTCTGCTCCTCCACAGGTCATGTGGCATCCATGACTTCACTCTGGTAGGCCCTGGATGATGTCCTTTATCTCTAACTCCACTCTCTGTGTCCTCATGCCCTTCCCCAACCCCTACAGCACAGGAAAAATCCTAGCATGAGGCAAGCCTATGAATTTAGGGTTTCTCTCTCCCACAGAGATTCCTAT